GTCCCCAATGCTAATATTACTGAGCAACTTCCAATGCATAAAGCTATCTATAAATGTAATTCCTGAGAACTAGGATGAGTAGATTTTATTCAATACAGAAAAGTCTCAAGAAGAAAAATTCTGAAATTATATGAAGATTACTGGGGTGTGTCAAAAGCTGTACATTCCTAAGAACATAACAGAGTCAGACTTTTCAATTTGGAATCTTACTAAAATTTTGCCCATGACATGCTAAAGCAAACTTATTCTAAAAACAGTAATTGAACCCCTTATCATCAGTTTAAAATCTTTCCTAAATTAACCATGCTAGGCTTTCTTGGAAAGCCTCTTCACTCTTCACCACTACCATTTGCAGATTCTAATGAAAACTCTATTCACAAATAGATTTTAATTGAATCAAATTCAGACAATAGATTAAAAAAAAAGTCATATTTTAAATGCTTTCAAAATAACTAGCTACCTGACAGAATTTAAAAGATACATAAATTTGTGTGTGTGCTTGCATGTATGCAGTTGTGCGCATGCATGTGTATTATGTATTTTCCCCTCAAGCATAAAGAAATTATAGTGTTCCTCATCTGAGCATGCCAATTTTTATTAACTCAAGAAGTTCTTTCTTTTCTCACTGATAATGAATATAAATAACTCAGCTTTTCCTCCATATCCCATCTTGCCCTTTTAGTCCTGGGACTGTCCGCAGACAGTTTACAAAGTGTACTCTTCTAAGGAATGCTCTGAGTTGGGATATATTGTGCTAGTTGCATATACTCATTTAGTGATGGGTCACAGAGAAATGAAATGACTAGCCCACAGTCACACCAGAAATGGCAAGGTGTAGTTTAAATTCTGGTTTTTGAAAAAGAAGAACATTAAGACTATCTAAACATGAAATACTAATAATTTTAGAGAGGTTTAAACATTTAAGAAGTATGTTCCCTGACTAACAAATTCTGATAATTATAACCCAAGATTCCTTCACAAATATTTCAAATGTCCAAAATAGACAGGAACTTTAATGGAAATATATTTCTCTCTGTGTGTATATGAACACATATGCATACATACAAACACACACATATACACACACATAAATCTACTTTATGTGACTGTGCAGAGTTTCAGTTATAACATTTTGACATAAAAGCAGTAGTAAGCCACCAAAATGACATTTATTTTCTATAGTTTTGTATTGGAAAATATGAGTTAAACTCAAGGATACTGGGCCTCCTTCACTTAGAAATCCTCTTTGAACACATCACACTTTTTACTTCTTGGAAATTCATTTAGTATAGTTTAAAATGCCAATTTCTAAAGTGTAAAAAGTTAATAATCCCTCTTAAATCAATAGTTAGGATCTGACATAATATATTCAATAAATATAAACTGTTAGAAACGGTCTATACTACCCACTGCACAGCAGTGAAAGAAATAATGTAAGCTCAATTACAGGCATTATATTTATATTTTACTTGATTTTGAAGAATTGTTAACTAAAATATCAAATATTTGGAAAATATATATCTAATGTCACCGATACTCCCATTCTCCTAATGGCAGCCCTCTTAGCATTATGGGATCATTAAACTTTATATTTCAATTAGTTAACTTCTAAAATACTTTGGATGGAGGATTTCTTTAGAGCCCACTTTCATTTATTCATTCATTTTAAGGTTTTACCAATTCTACTTTTTTTTAATTCACAAGACAAACTTGAAGTGTTCTCTCCTCTCCTATATTCACAATGACTAGTTTTATAAAGGTCCTTGCTATTTTCAATTGATACAACATATCCTAGAAAAAACAGGTATTCAAAATTTTGTTCTGTATAACTTTTAAGTAATGATTTGGTAGGCAGAATAAAGTAACTTCGTAATTCTTGTTAATATTTTTAGTGAGATAAACCTATGCAAAATTTCACAAACTATTTTCAAAAGTACGTATTGCAATTTTCTCTCTCTCTCTCTTTTGCAATTTTCTCTTTTAATAACACTTTACTAAGCTTTAGGCAAAGCTGTTTCCTTTTGGCTTTAAGTTCTTTCTGAGCACATATTGAGGACAAATTAAATGATTCAGTTCAACCAAGCACACTGTTCCACTCAAGGTATGATGATTGAGATGTAAATATCTATTAGAATTGTGCCATATATCACATTAATTATTCATGACTATCTATTCTTCTTTTATAGATATGAGATTTTTACTGCCTAAGGTATTATAACATTCTCCTTCAAAGTATTAGCGTAGAATGAGCACGTGGCCAAAGTTATTCACTTACTGAATGCTGTATTTGTGTGTTAGCTCACAGACACCATTCTAATTAGGGGTCTTAATATTTCTATTTTCTTCTTAAAAGAAATAGACAAAATGAATATTTTGACTATATTTAGATCATGATAACTAAATATATCAGTTGTATAAGTGGAATTTTCAATTTAATGCAGTTTTTTTTTCAAGGCACTCTTAGAAAATTAGCATTTAGTGCTAAGTTTTCTAGTTAAATATTTATGGCTTTATTGGGTAGAGTTTGGTGTTTTGAATTTAAAAAAAGCCTACCTCACAAAATTGTATTATAAATATATTAATGATTCTTTATTTTTCTAAGCTACTGATATGTGAGGTTTATAAAAACAACAGGCTAAAACTCAGCATACCTCTATAGTCTTAAAAAATCATAAACTTGGACAAATCACTCCTCTCTCGGCTTCATTTTGTACAGAAATTTTCTCAACAGGAGAAATTTTACTCCATGGTGACAAAGACATAGGGGAAGTTATGGTTGTCATTACAATTTCTAATAATTTGCTTTTTCTCATTTCTTATGTCCACCTATAACTATAATAGATTGAACATCCCCTCAAAAAGAGGGAGTGGTTGCTGCAATGTTCTTATGTATTTGTGTTTCAAAACAAGTTAACATTCATTCAAATGTAGCTTTATTGGACCCCTTCAGTTAATGGTCTTAAATGTATAGACTACCATTTTCCACATTTTAAGTCATGGAGAGTTTGATCTACTTCAGCAAGGCTGCCATTTCAACTCTCTTCATTACAATATTTAATTAAATTCTTCATTATTTAATGTCTTAACACCACATTCATCTCTAACAATGCCACTGCAATTTCATGACCATAAACTCCCCTCTATATAACATATAGTATCAAAATGTGTTTTGACACATGTTTTTATAGAATAAAACATGTTTTTATTTTGTTCCTATCATGGTAAAGCCTAGGGTCTTTGAAAGAATAATCTCTGGAACTGAAGATCCCTGGAAGTTTTAGAACCACTATACTCAAGTCCTAGTTCTTTAAGAATCTTTCTTCTTTCTTGGTGATTATTATAAATAAAAATCACCTTTCTACCATAAAAGTCAAGAGAAAATGAATGAATGGACCTGGATTTTCCTTTTCTTTTTATATTATTAGCCTTTAAGAGGATCTCAAAATATAAAGAGAACTTAGAATAAAACAAGATGAACTTGTTTTACTATATTCATGTATATTATATAAATATCAACCTGCAATAAAAGCATCAAGCCTTGTTAAGGCTTTCATATAAAATCTTTTATTCTCTTTAATTTTTAAGATCAATTGCTCGTACAGGTTTATTTTAAGGATTTATTATTTGGGATTACTTTTCTTATTTTCAATTGTACACAAAGGAGAAAATGAACTCTGTGAAGAATATCTCAGTATTCCAAATTCTACTAGGTTTGAGAATATTTCAAACTCAGTGCCTTGTCCAAAACCATTTTCATTAGCATCTGCCTTTAGGACTACAGAAAGACTGGGTATATATATTAACAAAGAGCAAATTATTTTTTCCAACTGTTGTAACTAGTAATAAAAGGAAAAATTCTCATTCAATACTCATGAAAACTTTCCTTTGAAAAACTAATCATCTAAAATCAGATATTAAGACAACATACTGCCAGAACTGTCTCTCTCCATTACTTTATTCAGCAACAAGGTCTTGGCAGTCAGTCTTTGTACTTTTTGATCAACTTTACCAAGCAAAGAACAATTTGCATCCAGTACTACTTATCAACAGGTTGGAAATATATGACTATTTCCTACTCCTAAGCATGTTACTATAAGTGATATTTAAAATGAAATAATCAGAAATTGGATCCAAATATATCCTCATGAAAATGAAAATAATGTAACATGGAATGCCTTAATTTGAAGCTAATGTTACAGAAAGGGAAAATACCCAGAACTCAAATCTCTCCCTTTATTTATAAATACTTGCATCACTTAGTTTTGGATAAGTTTAACAAGAATACACATTATTTCTTTTGGGGATGACAGCAAAATTGACAAACAGTCCCTGTTATGCCTGTCATTATGTTATTGCTAAATCATCCACAATATCATGACCTGATTTTAGTTACCAGGGACATGGCGAAACATGGAATTTAAGTATCTTTCTGATTACATACAAATAGCCAGCACTTAAGAAAACCTATGAAAAGTGATCTATGTCCAGTAATTAAAAAAAAGAAAAAAAATGGAAGGAAGGAACCAAGGGAGGAAGGAAGGAAAGAAGGAAGGAAGGAAAGAAGGCAGAAAGACATCTTTAAAAGCCTAACACAATTACACAGTAGGCCTCTGACATTCTCTATGCTGGTATAATAACTAAATGGCAAGTAACACGGAAACAGTTATCCTTGTGAGATCCCTGTTGCATGCTTTAATTATAACTAAAAATTTACAACAAAATCAACCCTTGGGTAAATTGCTCTTTGGTTTAAATCTTCATTACCTCCTGGAATTTTGGTAAAATCACTTTGTTTCTAAATTAAGCCGGTCCCTCCTTCTTTACTCCATTACAGAAGTCAAACAATAAGAACCAGACATTAATTTTAGAATGAAGAGTTTTGTGTATATGTGTAAGTCCAACCCCCGTATACAAACTGTTAAAAAACAGATGTTTTAACATAGTGCTTTATTCCAACTTAATCTCATCCTTGAATGAACTTCCTTCAAGTTTCAACCATTAAAAACAAACAAACAAAAAAAATCAGTCAATTTCCTGGTGGTTGTAATTTAATTAAGTAACCTTTCACACTGAGCAAAAACCCAAAAGCAAAAGGGTCATTAATCTTTCTAGTGATTAGAGACACCTCTAGAGCTTCAAACATTTACCTCTCCTTCCCCGCAGTAGAAATGCTTTTAGGAGGATCATGGTTCATACCTCGCATTCCCTGGAGCCAGAGATGGTATATGTGCAGGGCCCAGATCCATTAACGGATATATCCATGGTCTCAGAGTTTGTAGGCTTGTAGTCCACATAATACTCCTGTAAAGGGGAATTCATTTGTCTTTCAGACTCTCTGGTCTTTTTCCGCCGCCTCTTCATAAGAGAGTGTTGCTGAAGTTGTTTCATGCTGGCTGGGTAGCGTTTCCAAGACACATAGATTACCAAGAGGATCATGGCCACTGAGAGGAACAGAGCCACACTCCCTGCAATAATTTTGTGAAATGAAACATGCTCATACTCTTGCTCTGTGCCAGGAATCTGAAACCCTGGGGAAGGGCTTGGTGTTTCAAGGGTGGGCTGGGTGGGGTCAGATTTGGAAAATGTAGGTTTAGGGATAATCAGAGGCTTCTGGGGCGTTTGGGGTACCAGGTGTGATTTTTCTGTGTTGACCACCTGAACTTCAGAGCAGATATTATATGTTTCCACTGCATCACTAACCTTTTCACCCTGGATATGCTTAGGTCCTGCACATATCATGGTGCTTTCCTTATTTCCTTTGAAATTCTTAAGCCAATAAAATAGAGGACAAATGCTCCGACTGCATTCCCACATATTTCCAGACAAAGTGATGGATATTAATGATATCCATGCATTGACAGTTTCCTGTGAGATGTTGGTAAGCTTGTTGGAATCCAAATTCAATTTTTGCAAATTGGGTAGACATTTAAATGTGCCTGGCTCAATTCCTTGGATGTCATTCCCTGATAAATCCAAGTTGTGTAAGGAACTCCAAGTCCATGTCAAGCCTTGGCTAATGGAACGAATCCTGTTCCACTGTAAGTAAATTGAGCGGAGATTGAAGAGACGTGGAAAATGAGCAAAATTGATCTTGGAAAACTGATTGTGCTCCAAGTGGAGCTCCTTCAACTTCAAGAGGCCAGCAAAAGCATTTCGGGACAAGCTTCGAAGACGATTGTAACCCAAATCCAGAAAGTCAAGATTTCGACAGTCTTGAAAAACTCTTATCGGCACAGTCTTTAATGAGTTAGATCTCAGGTGCAAAATGATGAGTTTCCGAAGACCTTTAAATTGTTCTGATTGCAATGTCTGAAGTTTATTGTAGGAGAGATCCAGATTGCGGAGATTGGGAACTGGGTGAAATGTTTTATTGTGCAGATAGGTAATTTTGTTGGAGCTTAGAATTAATTCTTTCAGTCTACGGATCCCTTGAAATGCATCTTCATCCACTGAGCTAATGTAATTATGGTCAAGATAAAGCCATATAAGCTGGTTAAGGCCGGCAAACTGATTGGATTTGAGTTTCTGAATGCTGTTGAACCTTAATGATAAGCCTTGTGACCCTCCAGAAATGTTCTCAGGGATATCTGCGAAAGCATGAGACTCACAGTATACAATTTTGCCATCACATCTGCAGTTCTTTGGGCAAGCTCTCTGAGCCCCCGTGAGCATAACAAGCAGAAGTGTAGGAAGGAGCACTAGCACCACACGCATGCCTCTCAGCTGCGTAATTAAACGGAAACCTACAATATTAAAAAGAAGACAAATGCACATTGTAAAGCTATTAATATAAATCACCACCAGCTTACCCGCTATCAGGGGCATTTCATCTAGTGTAGTAATGGGACAGTTGATATAAGAACAATGTATTTAACATATGAAGTCTTATTTTCTTCAGTGTTGCATGTTTGCTATAATGAGGTTTCCTTCTTTCTTCCTTGATTTTCAAATCACCACAGTGCCGTGGAGCTAAAGAAAAGCCTTCCCGAGTTTCATGAGTTCATATGTTCATCAACACTGAAAAGCACGCAGCTTGTCTTATCACTTAATGCCAACACTGTAATAACAACAATATTTGGCTAGTCACTCTGTTGAACATCAGTATCAGAAGGAAGAGTACCAAGTCTTCTGGTAAGGGCAAAAATGACTTAGAAAACCCCATACTTGAACATCTTTCCTAGTTGAGCAAACAGGCTTTGATTTGACAAAAGAGCTTCAGTAAGCTGTCAAGGTAACCCAAGTTTGCCCTGCCTGAAATTGTATCCTTATTGCATAATGGAATAACAATGCATGAGCTCTGAAAAAATGGCATCGGGACTAGTATGGGCAGCCAATGAAGCGTAGTATGAAGACTAATAACAGTGCAAGGTACTCTCAATGTGTTAATAAGCATATGTTCTTGGCATTCAGGAAGATCTGCCTACTATGCCTCCAGGGATACACCAGCTCAGAACCCTAACTACTGATAACGCAGAACAGTCCAAAGTTAAAATTGTCAAATTCTTATTAAATATTTGCATAAAATTCAAAATAATCTTGTGTAGTATTAGTTTTGCTGTTATTTTTAACATAGTTGCTGTTGCAAATTTGGGGGATAAACAAGGAGTGAAGCAGTAGACTACTACCCCCACTCTCCTCCATCCGGACCTGCACAAATTTCTCACTGACTTTTTTTTCTTTCTCCCCTACCTCTATTAACTTCAGAAAACCTGCAAAGTTGCAATGTATTGGCACTTGTGCTGCATTTCCAAGTCACAGCATGGTAAGGGACTTCTTTCCTCTGTCAACAGTGGATTTATTATTATTTCTTAGCAGTGGGGGGGGGAAATAACCTGTGTGCTGTAGTTTATTTCTCTTAAATATTCATATTTTAACCAAGGGGCAATCAGCCAAACCTCTAATCAAAAAACTCTCCTTCTTTTACTTGATCAGTATTTTTTGTTTTGTTTTGTTTTGAATTTGAAACCCGATCTTGCTCTCTATCCTCTTGCCAGCTACAATCTCACTGAAATACATTCTAGCTCTTCCAGACAGGAGAAAGGGGGGAAAAAAGCCAGTCACACTTGAAAAAATAAGACTGGCAAATGACTGCTGGAAATTTGGAAGCTGTGTTCAGGATACAGCTTCACAGATAAAACAAACCCTTGTGCGACCTCCGATAAAGTAACGACCCCACCCCTACACACATGCAGTAAAGTGTTAACAATCTTCCTGACAGCGACCAGAAACACAAGCATGGTTAATATTATCAAGAAATAGAAGCAAACACAATATTTATCTCATGCTCAATTCCCAAGCTGTAGAAACACATACAGAAGAGACAGTCTTAAAGATATTTCTCTTGAGTCTGTTTAAGTCCGTGTTATGCATTTACGGATTAAAAAAAAAAAAAAAAAACTACTAAAAGGAAAATGATCTAAAAATATAATAGCAACTATACTGAATCAACTGGCAAACTCAGAGGCTGCTGCTTTTTGCCTGTTTCCCCGTCTTTTATCAGCTAATGCCACGACTGAGAATAGGAAGCCAAGAGGATCAGCTTTGCTAAGAAGGAAACAACAAAAGTTCACTTACCCATCCTTTGTCATCCAAAAACGGATCCCCCCTCTCTCAGCTTTCTTCTTATTTGGTCTCTCGTGCTGAAACCACCACCACCTTCATGACACAGTGCGGCTGTCATTCACACCATTCCGATCCCGCATGTGAGCTAGTAGCCCCATACAAACTTCCCCGGAGAGGACAGGCAAAAAATATATATACATATATGAAAAAAAATCAGCATGGGGTGGGATGGGGGGGCAGGGAGAAGGAAGCCGTTGGGGGGGGAGGGGGAGGACCTCTAAGCTCTGAGGACCATTGTGTAATTCACCAGAGACCCATCAGCAGTAATTGGCAATCTGTGCAAAAAAGCTACAGCCCATTTCGAAGGTAACCAACTTCTCTGTAAAAAGAGAGGTTAAAAAAAAAAGAAAAGAAAAGAAAAGAAAATCTTCAGAATACCTGGCATTCCTTATTGTGCTGGCTTTTGCCATTCCCAGATAAAGCAATTCATCCTCTGGATTTTCAGTTCTTGAAGCAAGTAGGCCTCCTGTGCTGCATGAGACCCCAGTTTAAAAGCTATGCAGGCTAGGTTTATCCATTTAGCTGGTCAGGTTTAAAGTGTTTTGTAGCTGTGCTGAGAGGCAGCCCTTGTCTAATTCAGAAGGCTTTCCAGAGACTGATGATGCTCAGAGCTTGTTGGTGCTAATGCTTGAGTTTGTGATACACTGAGTGCCCTCCGCTGGAGAAAACAGATTGCACATTAAAGACGGGAACAAGTGAGCCTGTCAGTGGTGTGCAGCCTTCCCTCTCTCAGAAAGGGAAATTAAAGGCACAGAATCACTTTTTTTTTTTTCTCTCCAATAATATATATATTATGAAAGCCTTATGACAAGGAGTTCCATTCAGTGATATCAAATATTAAGTAAAATACTGCCTCTCTATTATCCAATTAGCAGTTTTTAAAAGTTGCCTTGGCTTTTTTTTTTTCTGCACATATCACAGATTTATTATCTTTTTTTTAACAGAAACAATTTGAGTTTCATTTTTGTTGCTGTCTATTTATTTATATATATATTGTAAGCAAACCACAGAGAGAAACGATTGTACTTAAGGGAAAAATGTAATTAGGTCACTTTTGAAGGTAGTCATTTTTAAAATTTTAGGTCTAATTTTTAAATTCCCAGCTTTTGATAATTAAATACATTCTGTAATTTTGCACATCTTATTGAACAGTCTAGATCATTACTTTCTAAAAGTGTACTTTCTTAGTCTTAAAGTAATTGTTTTTAATTTTAATACTATATTAACCAATGTGCAGGTATCTAAGAGAGACTAAATGTTACTTCGATAAAAGTATTATTCCAGAGTATAACTGACTTCCTTAGGGCAGTCACTATATTTTAAAATAGTCTACATTAATAATGCACACTTTTCTTATGCAAGTTACTTATAATGTGCAATTCCGAAAAACAAAAGCATGTGAGTTCTATATCGCTATTGTATTTATCTAAAATTTGCAAAATATCCTCAGAGTTAGGAAGGATGAAATGATGAGACACCTGAAATATGTATTTTAAAAAGCCTATACCTTCCTTCAACTTGCATTGGACTTAAAAAAAAAATAATGATGCATCACCTTCCATTTCGTTTCTCTTCGTTACTTATTTCATAATCCTCTGGCAGAGAATTTTTGGAACAATCCAAAAGAATGAACCAATGTAATACAGAGACAGTATGCTAGATAAGATTACTAACCTAACTTAGCAGGTGTGAGAAGTTTAAATAAATTTTACATAAGAGTCTAGAATTGCTATGGATCAGTGAAAATGAATATTTTTAGAAATATTTCTTGGTTTTAGAATAACTGCCAATATACTAATAAGGAGGGCTTATCATAGAAATAACACAAATAATTTGACTCAGATTTATGAGTAGGCAGAAACAGGCAATTATCTAATTACTAAGATTTTTCAAGGAACAGAAAGAGATAATATAGCCCCCAAATATATCCCTTTCCCATTAACTGATACCTGAATTCTATTTTAGAAATGTATACTTTTGGCTTAAGGCTTAAAACCTATTGAAATGCAAATGAACACCCAAAGAGGCAATATTATTTGGTTAATGAAAGAGGTGTACCTTTCTAAGGAAACAAAAATAAATGATACACATATAATTTGTTCATAGTAGTGTAGTTTACACAGAAACAAAAATCCCACCCAAATATTCAATGATGGAGGATCGGTTCAGGAAATATAAATATATTCATGATTAGAATACATGCTGCCATTAAAATAAAATCGCTTGTATTTGCTGACAGGGAATGATGACCACAATGTGTAAAGAGAGTAGAGGCAGAGAACAGAGGTCCTAGAGGATGATTAAGGCAGTCTATTTCTGTGCATAGTCTTACTTGCGTGGGGGCAAAATAAAATGTACAAAGCAAGTTTTCCTGGGAGATGAATTTTGGATGGATTTCATTTCATCTTTTATGATTTTTTGTCTATTTATATTTTCTAACTTTTTAAAATAAGATGAATATGTGGTACATGTGACATATGTATGTGTGTATATATATATGTATTTTTGTGCATGTATGTATAAATTTTCCTTTGTTGGAATATAAGCCATGAGAACAGCTTTTGATAGTGGATTGGAAAAAATCTCATGATGTTACCCACATTTATGGTGTAATAACCAATGAAAATGCAAGTTTTCTTTTAAGTACTAAGATCTAATAGATGCTGTATTCCAAAGCAGATACTAAATCATATGCAAATTTTACAAAGGATGTTGTCAAAAATCAATTCTTTACTGTGTCCCTTGAACACACTGTGAGGGCATAAAAGGGCCAAGAGAGTTAAGAGTGACAAAAGATGTTGTGTGGAGGACTTTACTGGAAAGAGTTGTCCTGGCATTACCTACAAGTGTACATAGACACACCCCTCACCCAAGGGAATGGCAGGGTACGTCCATACCTCAGCTTCATTATGGTATGTTAAAAATTTTATTTTTTAATTTTTTTAATTTTTTTAAGATTTTATTTATTTATTTGACAGAGAGAGACACAGCGAGAGCAGGAACACAAGCAGGGGGAGTGGGAGAGGGAGAAGCAGGTTTCCCATTGAGCAGGGAGCCCGATGTGGGACTCGATCCCAGGACCCTGGGATCATGACCTGAGCCAAAGGCAGACGCTTAATGACTGAGCCACCCAGGCACCGAGTGTGTTAAAAATTTTAAGACAAAAGGTCCAAAATGGAGCCACTTATGCTAAGCCTCATTTCTCCAAACCACAAGTTAACTTAATTACAGTTTTGGCCACTCCCAGAATGGAATCTTAAACCAGTCAATAAGGAATCACCTGGTCAGCACTAATAAGGTAATCTGCCTGATAGATCCCCATCATCCCCTGAAGGAAAGTGATCTTGTCACAATCAATCTGCCTTTTTCTAATATAATTTCTTAGTCTGCTCCCTTTGGTCTATAAGAGTCTTTCATTTTTACAGTTTCTCAGAGCCCCTTTCTATCTGCTAGATGGAATGCTGCCCAATTCATGAATCATTGAATAAAGGCAATAAGATCTTTAGAATTAACTGAGTTGAATTTTGTTTTGTTTTGTTTTTTAACAGTTTTGGTGTCAGTGACAGGATCCAAACGAAATGTGTGTGTGTTGGGGGATAACAAGAAACACAGGCACTGTTACTCACGAATCCTTTGAATTCTTGGTTCTTCTTGCCATTTCCTAGGGCCAAGAGATAAGTTCCTCTCAGTTCTGAGTTCTGCTTTCTTTGCATTGAGCTCCTGATCCAACTGGCTTTCTAGTCCAGGGCAGGTCAGCTTAAGGTAACAGATAGTTCCACCAGAACCTAAGCCCCTAGCTCTTGGTTCAGTACCCAGATGCCATATTGAAAACAGCGGGTGGTTCAGTCTGCAGTTTTTCCTTTGATTGGAATCCCAGTCTGCAGTCCCCATTTGTTGGGTCCTTTCCCCAGTCCTCAGTTCTACATTGGAAATTGCTGGTGGGGCACACAATGCCATCTCTTGTCCAGGTTACTGTTGGTTTCTGTTAATGGGAACATGAAGTAAAGCCTATTGCTAATGGGAATCTTGAAAGCCGAAACAACAAAATTGGTGGACATGTGTCAAGCACTTAAAAGCTGTTAGGGCACTTGCCACCTAACTCTAAGACTCTCATGTTAGGATTAGGTGGCCATGGGATGGAGTTAGATTGGCACTGGGTTATGGCACTGGGTTATGGCACTGGCCATGGGATGGAGTTAGATCACCAACTTTAAGAAAATTTCCATGTAAAATGTCACACAATCCCCAAGCCAGTGACACATCCCTGTTAGGTATTACTAACTTTGCTCTGAGAGACCCAAGGCTTACCTACAAGAAATGGGATCCTTACATTCCAAAGATTTGAGAGTGCCACCTTCTGGTACACCTGCTTATTTTATGTCTAAGAAATGTGGGTCTCAGAACCCATAGATAGCTACAAAAATGGAAAAATCTTACTAATGACAACCTAGAATTACAATGGTCATTATGGGGAATGTTCCAATTAGACAAGATTGTTCATTTAAGAAGTACACTTGAAAATAAGAATTCCCAAAACAAAAAAGTAGAATGGGATATCAATTTTAATTGGCATGCAGAAGACTCCAGAAGTTTTCAAAATTCCAAAATAGCTTCAGTGAAATATTTGCTACAAAAGCCTAATGATAAATTAAAGATATAAAAAAACAGGACTAACAGACTGAGGTAACTCCTACAGCTCCCCTCTGTCCTCCTTTACCTGAGTACTCAGTCTACTAATCCTCTGTCTGAAGACAACAGGGCCATAAACAAAAGTCCACCAAGTTAGTGGCCTTACACACACCCCCAAATATATTCTTGAAGGAGGGCCCCCATATGGGCCCCTGTCAGGGTTAATAGAAACAAGAGGGATTTTCTGGTAAACTGCTACATTATTTCCTTAAACAGCCAAAAAGAAATGTCTCTTTCTTTTGCTTATCTTTGGGAGTGGCTCTGGATCTTGGGAGGTAGTATCTTCTCCATCTTCTTTGAGAATGCCTCTTGGGTTTATGTGTCCTTCAATACTGCCAGGAATATTTATTGTTTGTCCTGGGCAGAAACAGATGTGCTTTTTTGTTTGTTTGTTTGTTTGTTCACTTTTCTGGCAA